TAGCCATCTTGTCTCATCACAAAAGAGAGCTGTGATGTCACGGTCTTCTGTCCCTCTGATGTTATACCACCACTGAACTATTTTCATGTGTATTTCAAAAGCACAAACTGGTACTAAGAGACTGAGCCAATGCTATGCTGCATGGAGCATTGTGTGGGTGTTGGAGCGATTGTTTGATTTTGGGAGCAGACCCACCCTTATCGTCCTTCAGCAATGAAGGAACTCATTCAAGTAATTCAATCGGATTTTTCATCAGGGAAGGGCTTTGGTCTTTTGAACTTCAGCAGCGCCCTGTGCAAGACCCAAATTTGGCATACACCCTGCCTCTCGCCTTCTGTTCTGCTCAATTTACTATGTCATAGTTGCAGCGCCCTGCTGTACCCCATAGGCTGTACCCCATAGTCCACTGTGGCAGAACCAGTCGCGCTGCCCCGAATCCACCTCTGTTTTCATGGTTCTTGCATCCCACCCTACAGCCTGCAGAGAACCTCTGCAGCTCCACATTCTGATGCAGTTTTATATAGGAACTGAGCAGAGGGGGCAGGTTTCCCCTTGCTTTCAATATGCAAAGTTTGTGAGTGTTAACCAAGCCCTGTTTACTTCATGTAAAACACTATGATAGTAGCTGCAGTGCGAGCTTTTGCTTGCACCACAGGTGCATGTAGAGCAAGAAGCCCATTCAGTAAAAAATGTGAGAATATGGTCAAACAGTAATTTGAGAGTAGCCTTTATTCTATTTTTTGTGGTTCAGTGGCCAAATCTATAGCTGCATTAAAAGTCAACATAATATAAAATTATAATGTACTGCAGCCATAAAAGAACCTGACTTCTAAATATAGCTATTTCCTCTGGGTAACAGTAGAGCAGAATTTTTTTTGTTAGATGTGTTAAGGCAAGCCGCCAGTGGACCTTCTAGCTGAGTGTGCATTGGAGTGCAGAAGAGCAAAGCGAGAGTTGAAGTGGCTTATATTACCACTAGATGGCAGTGTTTGTCTCTGGACTAAGACTTACAGATCCTAAGGTTGCATATAGGCAAATCTGAATTTCAAATTTTGTTTGATATTTGTAAAGAAATTTAACTTTAATAGTTGCATCTTGTAAATTCAAGTTTTGGTAGCTGATTTCAGGTACTGTATTCTTTAGTAGAAAGTACTGCCTTTATTTTTTGGACAGAAAAAAAGACAGCTGGCATTCTAACAAGAGTCCTCATGTACTATAAGGAGGTACAATGCCAATTGTGGTGATGTTTCAGTGCAAAAGTGTTAAAGAAATAGAAATAACTTTGGCTGCAATCCTAACCCATTTTCCTGGGAGAAAGCACCACTGAATTCAATAGCACTTGCTTTTGAGTAGATGTGGTTAGGACTGCACTGTTAGTCTCTCGTGCTTATTTTTAGTACTTGATGTGTTTTTGTATAAAATGTTTGGGTTGCTGGTTCTTCAAGATCACGGTTACATTTTGGGAAGCGCACACATAATTTACATGACGTAACTTTCAGGGGCAATTTGAGAATATAAGTTATTATGCATGTTAATGAATGAGCCTTAAATGTTGACATTCAAACATAATTAAAATGTATCAGCTTTTTATCTGTTGCGCATTGCTTGCTTCAAAAGTGGAGAAGGATTATGCCTGCTAAAAGAAGATAATAATGGCAATGTGTTTTCATTGAGGCATTTCTAACTGATATGAGAAGCTGTGGCTGCTTTTACAGAGTTGAGGGCTGTTAATGAAATGCTGCTCAAAAAGGAAATGGGTGAGGTTGTTATATCCTGTTTTTGCATGTCCTGTGCTGTCCTTTTATATTTATAAAGGACTTGCACATTTCTTTTTAAGAATACAAGCTTAATATTGCAATAGCTGCGTCATCATCATCATCATCATTATTTACAGTTTGTTGCAAAATGCTGTCATGGATCAGAACAAAAGCCTACTAGTTCAGGATTCCTAACTCAAAGATTGAGGAAGTAGAAAAGAAAAATGACCAGTTTTTACATAATCCATATTTCATCACTTGCTTTTAGTTTCTTTCAGATGTTATTTCAGCATGGCAGTAAGATTTATTTATCTAGAACACCTTTCCTCTGCTTTTTTCAGAACGACTTACAAAAAATAATAGTTCGAATAGAAGTCATTTTCTACTCATGCAAGGGCAGTTTTCTCCTACAACATTCTAGCAAGAGATATAACAGTGAAAACAAATGTAGAGGTGTTGTTCTGCTTCTGCCGAAGTTGCACAATTAAAAGCAGAAGAGCTACTGTAGAATGTGCTGCTGTTACTGTGCTGCTTCCAAGCCATTGCAGACCAGTGCAGTTGCTGTTTCTGAAATCAGATCAGCATAGAATGCAAATAAGACATATTAATGGCATTATCTATATGGTCATTTACAAAGAAGAAGTTTGGCTGTTCCCTATCTCGTTTGGCTTTCAATCTAACAACAGCTATATAGAGTACGATCCAATAACCCTTCAGCCTTTCATAAGTCACAACCTCACTTGTCCCCAATTTCTCTGGAAGATTCCTCCGTAGTGTATGTGTATGTGTGTGCAGCGGGAAGGAGTGGAAGTCCTGTTTGTTGTGAGAAGAAGCTCTTTGTGCAATCAGGCTGTCACAACTGGATGTCACCCATAGGAAACTGCCAAAGAAAGGGGATGGAAAATAGAAGCTGGCACAGACAGCTGAAGGCAGAGCTGTAGCTATGGGGAACTAGCTGGGCTGTGCGTGTGTGTGCGTCCAAATGCCCATGGTGGGGTGCCAAACTGGGTCTTTAACCTGGGTGAAATAAAGCCTAGCTTTGCCCCTGGTGAAGGGATATGTGATTATTTCAATTACACATACTTTGGCTTCATTACAATATGGTATTGGCACTATGGGGTTGTTCCAAAGGCTTCTAAGAAAGTATGAATTTGGAAGTGGGATTTGTAGGAAACAAAGGAAGTGGTTGCCCTGAGGCATTCTGGGAGGCAGCTCCAAGCAATTAGAGGAGTCAAGGAAGAAAGGGTGCAATTGTTTCAAGGAGCAGGAGACCTTCCATGAGGTTGGTAGAGCTGGACAAGTGAAACAGGAAGAGATCTGTTGGGATGTAAGAGCAGAGATGTTTCAAATGGGGGGCAGGCAATCATGGAGGGTTTTGAAGGTATTTCTTTGGCGTGTATATTGATGCTTTAAAACTCTTCAGGTGCTTTGGGTGATTATCCTCTTAAGGGATTCTTTTTTTCCATGAGTCACTTGTTTTTGTTTGAGTGTCTCTAGAGGTTTGTCAGGAATCACAAAGGCCACAAGACACTCATTTGCTACTATTAAACACTCCAGCAAAATTGGAGCTGTTGTGTGAAATGCATCATGACCCAAGGCTCCAGAGATAGCAGGCAAGAAAGGTAAAGGGACCCCTGACCATTAGGTCCAGTTGTGGCCGACTCAGGGGTTGTGGCGCTTATCTCGCTTTATTGGCTGAGGGAGCCGGCATGGCCAGCGTGACTAACCTGCTTCTGGCGAACCAGAGCAGCGCACGGAAATGCCGTTTACCTTCCCGCCGGAGCAGCACCTATTTATCTACTTGCACTTTGATGTGCTTTTGAACAGCTAGGTTGGCAAGAGCAGGGACCAAGCAACGGGAGCTCACCCCATTGCGGGGATTCGAACCGCCGACCTTCTGATCGGCAAGTCCTAGGCTCTGTGATTTAACCCACAGCTCCACCAGCGTCCCATAGCAGGCAATAGATCACCATAAAATGGCTGGTGGAAGTGTGAGTAGAGGTGGGACCACCACCACCATAACCGTTCCTGGTTTATTACAACAGAAATAGTTTTAAAAATGCCATGCATAAAAGATTTTGCAGGTGTTGTTGCCTCCAGTGAAGAAGAGTTTTCTTCTTGCATGTATCTCATGCTTACTTTTATTTCTAAACACATCCAGCAAAGGTTCCCCCCAGATCTCTAGGAACAGCTTAGTAGCTATCACTGTCTGGAATTGCCTCTGAATTAGTCATATACCATATGTCAGTTTCACCCAACTGCTGCTCCTTGCATTTTTCTAAATGGCCTGAAATCAATCTGCAAGAACCAAAAGGGGAGGGGAGATATGCGTGGAGAGTGGGGAGAAAGCAATTATCCCTTTGGATTTTATTTGAATTCAGTTGCCTCTTGCTTTCCTTGTGCTGGCTGACACTTCAGCAGAGACATGCTGTTTTGTTTAAAAGGTTTGCATTTTTTTCCCCTATGCCATTTCCCTATTGGCCGGATGGGGCCATCCTTCCTGCTGTGGCTGCTGATGTCAGACACACACTCACACCCTTTCTAAGGCTGCTGCTGCAGAGACTTCTCAGCACGACCAGATAGGACCCGACCAGTACGTACACACAGCTCTGGTGGGGGAAACCCAGCCCTCAAGAACGATCAAAGGTGGAAGGAAAAGCCAAGACACATCCTGTCTCTCCCTCAGGGTGCAGTAATGCTGAAAGGCATAACATCAGCTTTAGTACAGTGAGGCGGGGAGAGAGAGCCTTGTTTACCAGCCTGGGAAGGAAACGTTATAAACCCTTTGTCTTGGAAATAAGCTTTGCATCTTTGCTGCCGCTGATCCCGTGTGCTGCTGCCGCTGCTGGTGACATTAACATCTGTGGACTATTTCATTTATTTTTACTTCCTCCCCCCCCTCGGCTGCTCTAGGAATGTCTTGATGCAACTGGAAAGAAATTGTAGATTTTAATGCATTTCCAGTGGATGTCTCTCCATTCACTATGATAGCATTTTATGTTTGAGACTCCTTTGTGTATGTGTGAGTGAAAAATCACATGATCTCAGTTTGAAGCAGGAAAACTGGAAGAGAGAAGAAATTCTGTTTTTTCCCTTTTTTTGCTAGATCAGCTTTCTAGATGGTGGCAGTGGCAATTTCTACTTACATTGTCAAGCACACATACTACAGTGTGCTGTAGACCTTGCTGATTTTTTCAAAAAGATATAAAAAAAGATTCCCCCCCTTTTTTGTTGTTGCTGCAGTTGGGGTGCACTGTGATTACGTTTCTCCTAAATTGCTGATTTGCATTTAATGTGAAGGAATATGCTCATGAAGGAGTATCGGATCTGTATGCCTTTGACAGTTGAAGAGGTAAGTGCAGTACATAGTAATGCTTAGCGCTTTGTTTTAACAGTTGTTCCCGAATGTGACTGGAGTGGAGAAGAGTTAATAAATGACCGTGGTGTTTTATTGGGTTCTTTCTACTATTATGAAATGATTTTTCCCTCCACTCTAGTTCATGGAGTCGTATTTCTGTTGCGATGGAAGGAAAGTGCATGCAAGCAAAAAGTAAATATACCAATTTACTGTGTCATCAGAGTTCTGATTGGCTACTAAGCTTTGCTAAGAACACACATGCAAACATAAGCAGGTACGCACACTTTGAGCAGGACTGATTTGGAATGGAATCCATGTGGCAAGAATTAATCCAGTGAAATTTCTAAAAAAATAAAAATGTTTGGTTAAGTCATCCTGTTCTCAAAACGTGCTCCTTCCATACTTCAAATTTAGATGTGTGATAATTTTTCAAAGTTTCTCCTATGTAAAGTAGCATTTGTAAGTGAGCTTCAATTCTTCTAGTGAAACTTTTAATGTAGCCATTCAGTTGTTGATATATTTTACTAAAGCACAGTGTATTTTAGGTACTGAGTGTAGCACACACATATTGAGAGCAAATGGCAGACAAAGGCAAAACAACATTAAGTATGTTGATCATGGTAGTTTATATACTCGGAAGGCAACAAGACTTCAGTACATAAGCTACAGCTTTGATGAATGTTTATATTTATTGGAGTAAAGTTGTGATGTTGTACATGCAGTGAACATCTAAGTTCCCCTTTGTTTTCAGATTCATATTAAAATGTTATGCTTGTTGTTTTAATTGCTATTCAGTCCTTATCATGGAAGTTTATTTTCCGTTTCATCTTTTGGCAATGCGCAAATACATTCATTTTATTTTTGTTAAAAAAAACATACCTGACAGCACTGTAGTCCACAAGGGGGAGCTTTGAACATATTCTTCCATAGAACTTTGTTCCCATCTTTTGATGCAGAAATTTATACAATAGTGGTAAGAATATCACTAGTAGATTGTTGCAGGTATATTTTTTTCTGTAAAAAATAAATAAACATAGCACTTGTACTCCATGTGTTTCGGAAGCCTGCTTGGACTATCTGGCATGAAACATTTCGGTTGTTGCACTAGAAGCAGTGAAATGTATCAAAAGTACCACATTTCTGCCTGCCTTGTGTAAAACGACTACAGTAAAGAGAAATACAGTTTTGAGGTTTCCAGTGCAATCTACTTTGTACCTGTATGTATTTGCTGGCTACATAGTATTTCGTACATCTGCAGACAGTGAACCGGTTGGGATCTAGCAAGCTCATACTGTGTTTGCTGGAGGTACATGTAATTGGTTGTTGTGTTGGTTTTTCCTTCAATAGTTTCTTATCTTTTCCAGCCTTCCCAGCAAAGCCAACATTCTAGTGTTTAAAACAGGTTTGCAAATAATTCCAAATGAATAATTAGTCCATAAAAACCCCCACTGCGTATCTGGGTTAGCCGTTTGTGGACATTTACAACCTTAAAGCGACCCCTGCTCACCCCCCCATTCCCATTTTCAAAAGTTTCTATGCCTAGTAGTTTGAAGAGAATAGTTTTGCATGAGTCAGAATTAAAACCCCAGGTGTTGTGTAAATATCTGAAAACCTTTGATGCCTCTTCAAGGGCAGCTTATGTAGACCTTTTATTGGTACAATTTGCTGCTACTTTATACTGTGAATAAAATTGCAATCCGGTGGACACTAACTTGGGAATGAGTCCTATTGAACTTAGTGGACATTACTTCTACATATGTATGTTAGTCTATATTTGTGCATGCACACGAAAGCTCATGCCAAGAACAAACTTAGTTGGTTTCTAAGGTGCTACTGGACAGTTTTTTTATTTTTTAAATATATTTCACTCTTATACAGTATCTGTGCTGAGCTCCCTGTCCCAAACAATTAAAATGAATTAGTAATTGTTGGCTATCTGCAACAAGTTATGGACAACTTCGCCTATAGGCATTGAAATTATACATACAGATCCGAACAGGATGCCACCCTGGATGAGGAAAAACTTAACTTCAATAACAGTTAATTTTAATTATATGACTTGGAAGTTTGTGATAGTGTTTCTAGAAAATAACCTAGTTTAAAATGATATCTGAATGTAATACAAACAAAGCCTACATTCTAATCACTTAAAACTGACTATCAAACACACTGCGGTGATTCAGATGTGACATCAAACAGTTTGACATTACGCATAGCTGGATTATTGGGTTTCATCACTGCCTCTCCCTCCCTTTGTTCCTTGTTCTTGCACTTCCTGCCTCCTTTCCTGGTTTGAGATAAAACTTAGTTTGAAGTTTTGGTTGGCAAACTATGGTTTGTGCTTTCTCTGCAAAACAGAATTGGAAATTTGGTTTCTAGTTCTGTTTTGCAAGGCAAACCCAGTAAAGTTTACCAGTTTGGATAAAACTGGCAAGCTGGCTGCCTGAAACCAAGGTATTGGGTAGGGAAGCCCTATGCATGAAGGGCAAACGGAAGCACACAAACCTGGGCCTCACCTTTGGCTTGTGCATATAAAATCAAATCATGGCTTGATGAACCAAGATGCATTTTAAGATAGGCTTATGATGGAGCTCACGTATCTGAGCTTGCTTAGTGTCCTTACGTGTGTGTGTGTGTGTGTGTATATATATATATATATATATATGCAGGTTTTGGTGTCCTCGGGTGTCTTCCCGTGTAAAAGTTGGGGTGTCTAGGCGACGTTTCGACGAGGTCTCACTCGTCATCTTCAGGCTGGTGCTTTCGGCTTCTTGTTACTGGAACAGAGCAGGATCTCAGTGTTTGAGTTCCTATAAATACTGTTGAGGGGGTGTGGTGTATAGCCTCCAATGTTCTGGGCAGAGAGGAAGTTCCCAGGTTAGTGTGCCTTTTCTTCTTTTGTTCTTTAATTACTTGAGGGATATCTTGAGTGATTTCTTGAGTGATATCCTGAGTACCACTTAGGTGGGTCATTAGGTGTGGATTAGTTGCTGAAGCCTTCGTGTCTTGACCTCTTGAACTTTGTGAAGAGTTTTTCTGAGAAGATGGCTGTAATGCACTTAGTTGTGCTCTGGCTTGGCTTCGTGTATAGGGGCGAGCTGTGGTTTTGTGTCCTGAGGAACTCAAACACTGAGATCCTGCTCTGTTCCAGTAACAAGAAGCCGAAAGCACCAGCCTGAAGATGACGAGTGAGACCTCGTCGAAACGTCGCCTAGACACCCCAACTTTTACACGGGAAGACACCCGAGGACACCAAAACCTGCATTCCTGTACCCGTGAAAATCTACGAAAGCAAATATCTCACCTCTACGGGGAGGAAACCTTCCAGCTAACAAGAACCTACGAGAAACTAGAAATCCGAAGAGCCACCATCTTATGTGATCTCTTGTTCCTACGCAACTGCCGAGACAACAACTTAATTCCCACATGCTTCCAACTTAAATTCCACTCTAAAACCCCAGCTACCGAAAGGATCCTGAAACGAACTGAACTATCCCTAATCAGAAACGAACTACATAAGAAAAGATACCTACTAAACCAAACCAACAAAGATCTGCTCACTCTTCACCTCAAACTCTGTAACAAAATCCACCCTGCACTCTGGGACAAATGCAAACAACTAGCCGTCTGGAGAGCTGAAACTGAGACCTCACATAAGACAGACACACACACCAACAAACTCCACAAACTAGAGAAACGCCAGAAGCCCAGCCACCCTCCACAACAACCCATGAAACAAACAGTACATAACATATCAGACAGGATCCTCACCTCAACTGAAACCAAAGTACTCTCCAAAGGTTTCAACTTTGCAGTCGCCCCGAGACGCATCCCCACGGAAAACATCATATGCGGAGTCGAAGCTAGCCTAACCAAAATCAACCCAGATGAAGCCAATAAAATCAGACTTGAAGTCACCAACATCCTCTGCTCCAGCAAACCACCCAGAAGCAATTTACACAAAGAAGAACAGAAAGCACTCACCAACCTGAGGAAAGACAACAACATAATCATTCTCCCAGCAGACAAAGGTAATGCCACTGTTGTGATGAACACATCGGACTACCAAGCAAAACTATCAAATCTACTCCAAGACCCTACCTACCAACCTATAAAAACAGATCCCACCACCTATCTGGAAAAAACCACCAAATCCAAAATAAAAGCCTCTCCTATCAGTGAAGAAATCCAGCTAAGAATCATCCCCAGAGAAAAATCATCCAGATGCCCCAAACTCTACGGCCTCCCCAAGATACACAAAGAAGGAACACCACTCAGACCAATAGTCAGCTCCATAGGCTCACCTCTACAAAATCTCGCTAAATTTCTCGCTAAGCAACTTCAGCCCTATGCAGAATCCATCTCTTCACACGTTACAAACTCCTTCCAGTTCATAGAAACAATAAAGAAGCAAAACCTACATCCCAATGACCTACTTGTGAGCTTCGATGTTGTATCTCTCTTCACACAAGTGCCCATTAATGAAGCCTTGACAGCCATTCAAAACAAATACAATCCCCCGAATACATCCTGGACCTGACCAACCACTGCCTAACCAACACGTACTTCATCCACAATGGACAAAGATACAAACAGATAGAAGGAGCACCTATGGGATCACCACTCTCACCGGTCATCGCAAACCTGTACATGGAACACTTTGAAACCAATGCTTTAGACAAGTCAGAACACAAACCCAAACTTTGGCTCAGATATGTTGACGACACCTTTGTAATTTGGCCACACGGGAAGGAAAAACTAGATAGCTTCCTCACACATCTCAACAGCCTACACCCCAAAATACAATTCACTATGGAAATAGAAGCCAACAACCAACTTCCCTTCCTTGACGTCCTAATCTACAAAAAACCTGATGGCTCCCTAGGACACACTATCTACCGGAAAAAAACACACACCAACCGCTACTTACATGCACAATCACACCACCACCCTGCACAAATAAACTCCGTAGCCAAGACTCTCATCTCCAGAAC